CAGCTGGAATGCCAGGGGCTGGCAGCCCAACAGCTGGAGTGCCAGCAGCTGGAATAGCAACAGCTGGAGTGCCAAGGGTTGTCCAACAGCTGGAATGCCAAGGGTTGTCCAACAGCTGGAATGCCAACACCTGGCAAGCCAACAGCTGGCAAACCAACAGCTGGAATACTAGCAGCTGGAATGGCAACAGTTGGAGTGCCAGCATCTGGAATGCCAACATCTGGCAAGCCAGCAGCTGGAATGCCAGCAGCTGGCAACCTACCAACTGGAATGCTGATAACTGGAGTGCCAGCAGCTGGAATAGCAACACCTGGAATGCCAGCAGCTGGAAGGAGGAGCATCCGGAGGCGCCGGAGCTCATCCCGGCGCATCCCGACGCCTCCATCCGAGCGCCGCTGCCTTCCCCTTCCCGGCCAGGAGGGGTCACGGGCAGCCTTTCCGACGCCCCACGCGGGTCGGGAGCGACGGATTAGCCTCAAAATCAGCCCGTTTGGGAAAAATCCCGGTGGGAGCGCGGTGCCAGCGGCGGATCCAGCCTCTCACCCCCCTTTTTCCCTGTTTTTCCGCAGAGGACGCCCTGCTCGAAGCCGCGAGGATCAACAACGTCTCCGAAGTGGAGAGGTGAGCGCGGCGCCCCGGAATCCTTTAGGATGGCAGGGATCTCCAGGGATCCCCCTGCTCCAGCAGGGACACCCGGAGCACCCGGGCGCATCCAGGCGGGTTGGAGATCTCCAGAGCAGGAGACTCCACAGCCTGTTCCAAGGCTCCGGCACCCTCACTGTCGGGAATTTTTTCCTGAAGTCCCTGTGGAACTTTCGGTGCTTCAGTTTGCGGCCAGAACACGGAGCGGGGTTGGGAACGGCGCGGAGCAGCGAGGGCTGCGCCCGGGAGAGGGCAGTGGCGCCGCACGGAGCCGCATCCCGCGCGCCGGGATGAGGGATCTGCCGGGATGGAGCCTCGGGCACAGCGAGGAGGAAGGTCGGAAAACGGAGGAAGGAGCCCAGGTCGGGAGCAGGACCTGGAAGAGGCACCGGCTTCCAAAGCAGCAGCCGGGATGAGCGGGATGAGGGGACTGGGAGCAACTGGGCTGTCCTTAGGGATTCTCCTGGCCAATATCCCCCCTCCTTCCCGGGGCTCCCGGGTGGATCAGACAGGCTTGGTGCTCCCATTCCCGGGAATGCATCCCCTGTCCGAGGGCTGGATGCAGCCCGTGCACGTGGGGTGTCCCCTTCCCTCTGGACCCTCTCTGCTCCCGGACAGGATCCTGCGCCTTTCCCTGCCGCCCGGTGCGAGGAGCCCGTCCCGTTTTTGCGTCGGAATCGGGAAAGGTGGGATTTGGGGACCGTCGCCCTTGCAAAATCCCTGTTTCCTCCAAGCGCTTCCTGCTCCTGGGCATTATGGAGGGAAACACTCATTAATGTCAAGAGTTGGTTGGGCCTCAGCCCGAGCTGGTCTGCGCCATAGGAGGGAACCAGGGCATGAAGCCCCCATCCCGCTGGAGTTCCTTCCCGGATTCACATGGATGCTCCGGCTCCCAGAGCCTCGGAGGTGGGAACACACTGTGATCCTGGCCGGGCTGGCCCTGGCTCCAGGGATTTTGGGTCCTTCCCGTGTTCCCGTCGCCGGGAAGGACCTAATAATCCCAGAGGGATCCGTGGGCACCCTGTGCGTTCTGGGAGACCCGGATCTGCTCCTGGCCATTCCTTGGCTCCCTCCGAGCTCGGGCTCGGTTGGGAATTCAGCTCCTCTTGGCCTCCCGTCTCCAGCCGGTGTTCCGTGTTCGGATACAGGTCGGGAAAACGCAGGTTGGGCAGGAAAAGAAGCTTCGCAGTGCAGCCAGCTTTGGATTCCAGCTGGGCACGGCATGGGGCTGGATTTCTGGAATTCCCTTCACTGGGCCGGAGCCAGGTCTGAGTGGGATGTGAGCAGCCGGAGCGGGATGCGGCAGAGCAGCCGGAGCGGGATGTGGTGGGAGCAGCCGGGGGGGGGTGGGGT